TGAGATCACGTTGGAGCCTAAAGAAAGACCGGCGCCTCCTCCACCCCCGGGGGCTGGAGCTGACCGTTCAGGGACGCGGCTTGGGCGGCGTCAGGACTCCAATATGCGGCCAAGTTCGCCGACCCAAGACGACCAAGTCACCTCCCCACAGTCCCTTCCCAGGATCGCACCGGTGCCGAGGAAAAGTGGGTGGCTCATTATACTTGGGAGAGATGGCGCTGAAACATTTTGCGATCTTGTCGTCCACCTGGCTGCGGTGTAACCTGGACGAGGCGATCGCCCTGCGGCGGAGCAGGAGGCCTGCCGCGAGCCTCAGTCGGCCCGCGAAGGGCGGCGGGCGCCGTCCGGGGCAGGGCCGGGCGCGCACGGGCGGGACAGCGGCTCGCGGCCGCGCGGCACGGCCTGCCGCCCGGGGCCTGCGCCGGGGCCGCGGCGGGCCCGCTGCGCCTCCCGCCGCCGGGGGCCGCGTCCGGCGCTGCACGACGGGCCCGCGAGGCTGGAGGCCCGGCCCGCCCCGCCCCCACGGCAGGCGCGGCCATGGCGCCCGGGGCTCACCCACCTGCATGGGCGGCATTCCCTCGGCCATTTCCCCGCGCAGCGCCGGCTCCTGGTGGCAGACCTCCTCCGGGGGCAGAGCCTGGGCCCAGCTCCAGCTCCCGCTGTCCAGCCCCAGGCCCTGGATGCCCAGCTGCTGAGGCTGCGGCCGTGTTGACACAAACTGCATCCTGGGAGTGCTGTTCCCCGCTCGGGCCGGCCAGGGAGAAGAAGAACGTTTTCCAGGCGCCTTCCCCCTCGCCGGGGCCGGACAGCTCCATCTACAGCCCGTAGGAGCAAACAGTCCCCTTCGGCGGCGCTCCCCGCCCTCCGCAGCCGGCGCGCCAGCCAATGGCTTCGGAGCTCCTGCCCGCCCGCGGGGGCTGGCCGCGGCCACTCAGGGCTGGAGCCACCGCCGCCCGCAGAGCGATGTGGCGGCTCCGCCCGAGGTCAGGGGTCCGCGCGACGGCCTGCCTTCAAGTCCCAAGCAAGGCAGGGCCCTGGACTGCGGGCCCGTTTTCTGCTAATTCTACAAATATATTGGGCATCCCAGGAGAAAATGGTGCCTTCTGAAATTTTTACTGAAACGTTTACTGAACACCTACTATGCTCCAGGTACTCTTAGGCAGAGGGTGCAGCTTCACAGTTGTAGACACCTGAGTTTAAATTCCAAATCGCCACTTGCTAGCTGTGACTTTGAGCAATTTAACTTCTCCGAGCCTCACGTTTTCCTCATATATATATATATATATATATATATATATATATATATATATATTTTTTAAATTTACTTTATATTTTCTCTTTTTTTCCCCTCCCATATAAATGAAGAAAATAATGCCTACCCTGGTCTATTTTAATGCTGTGAAATTAAATGAGATGAGACTTCTGCCTGGCATATAGTGGGCACTCAGGGAAGACAGTTATCCCTCACCCAAGGAGAAATCCTTGTAATTATCAGCAATATAGTGTCTACCTGGTCTCCCTAAAGGACCAGTGCTTATCTTAAGAACAGAGATCTCCAAGTCTTATCACCCCCTGAGAAACAGACCTACTGGTGCCTGAGTTCCATTGCACTTAGTAAAATAAAGAACATTATGGGCCCAAGGGAGACACGTGTTTACAGTTCTATATTCAGAAGGGCCATTATCAAGTACATACTTTCTCTGTTAGGCACACTTCCAGGATATAGAAAGGAGTATTTCATGGAGTTAGTATTATCCTCAGGGAGATTAGGGACTGATAAAGGTTATGCTCCCAGAACTCAGCGGTTTCCCTTCTTTCCTGGCCTCAAGCTGCCTCCCTCTGTTGTAAATATAATGTCAATATTATTAGGGGAACCAGGCTAATTCATTTCTGCCAGCAAGCCACACCTCAGAGCACACATTCTGACCCACAGAGCATCAACTATCTCCCCTCTTTCCTAGAGATAGGGAATGGAGGACTAGGACAGTCCCAAGCATGCAAGTATCTTTTTAGGATAAAATTGTTAAGATTACTTCCCTTCCTTTTTAATAAGTTATAGCTACAACTCTTTTTATACAAAAGATGGTGCATTTATACACTTTCTCCTTTGCAGAGGTTGGATTTTCACCTGGCCATCCACATCTTCACCACTTGTGACCAGAGTGGCTGCTCAGAGCTAGAGATATAGTTCACTGCTGTATATGAACAAAGCTACACAACTTCAACAGAATTAAGTGCACAGGCTTCAGTTGGTGGCATTATTTTATAACCACTGAGCCTAGAAACAACAGACCATAAAAACCCATAATGGATACAAGCAGAAGGGTAGACATTTGGGGGTGTTTAAGGAGTAGTTCCCTAAAGGAAAAAACAAAGGGCACAAGGAGGGAGCTACTAAAGCCACACAGGTCATGGACCCTACTATTGGTACTGCAGTTACAAAGGGTTAATGAGGCTGAGACATCCGATGGTGGAAACCCATCCTGCCCTTGGAGATGTCCTTGAGGAAAATGTCAAGTATCATGGTTACAACAGATTTCTTGGAAGGCCCCAAGCCTGGCCCCTTGACCTGTCAGGTTGGCCTTGATGCCTTCCTTCTCTCCACCTGGAAATTCTATAGCTACTGCAATGGATAGGGCATTTGAAGTGGTAGATGCTCAACTAATGGATGCCAGAGAGGCCAAAAGAGAGGGGATTCGTAAAACTGGAACATTTCTTTATCTACCATTTTCTAAAGATTTCTGGTGCTGTGTTCTTTCAACAACTCCTGAGATTTATTTGAGGGAAACCTCCGGATTCACTCTTGGCTAAGGGAAGAAGATAACCAGATCTGTTCTTTGACTTAGTTTCACCCACCTCTCATTTAACAAGCAGGTCAAGAACTACCAAGGTGGCCCATGGGAAAGGGAGATGAGGACAGCCTCAGAGCCTCGGGCTCTCTTCCCACTGGCACGTCCAGGTTCACAGGTTCCCATCTTCACTTTCACTTCACACTGTGCCTATGGGCTTGAGTGTAGTTCAGTGGTAGAGCACTTGCCTGGACATGTAAGGCACCCTAAGTAGTGCATAAAAATAAATATAATAAAGGTATGTGTCCAACTGCAACTAAAAAACAATATCTAAAAAAATAAAAGACAAGGCTGGGGTTGTGGCTCAGAGGCAGGGCACTCACCTAGCATGCGTGAGGCACTGGGTTCCATCCTCAGCACCATATGAAAATAAAATAAAGATATTACATTCACCTATAACTAGAAAATAAATATTAAAAAATAAAAATGAATAAAGACACTGTGCCTAGTTAGACCCACCTCCAAGGGAGGTCAATGCTTTAGGCTACAATGTCATTGACCTCCTCACCTCTAGAGGCAGAGCATTCTGAGGGGATGGGTGCTCAGGGTAAAGTGACAGAGCTCCAAGACCACTGTACTGAAAGGAGGGTTGATGTGGGGCCACAGCCAAATGTTTTGTGTAACTTTACAAAAGTTTTAAGGGCATTTTGCTCTTGCCAAAGAGTTTTCAGCATCCTTTTTACAGACCCATCTTTTGCCAACATTTTAACTCAAACACCCATCTCTCTTCCAAAAATGTTTGCTTTAAGCCTATGCAAAGTTTGGGAATATACTTTTTCCCTTCTTGAGTTTATTCTTAGGCTGCTTCACTTAAGCATTTCATCTCCTTTCCAAGTTTGACACTATAGACAAGTGACCTTCATTGGCTTCTCTTAGTTTTCTTCTGGTAGTGGGCATTGAACTGAGGGGCAACAGCTTATCACCAAGCTACATCTCCAGCCCTTTTAATTTTGAGACAAGTTCTCACTCAGTTACTGAGGTGGGCCTTGAGTTTTTGATTGTCCTGGCCTAGCCTCCAGAGTCACTGGGATTACATGCTTCTCTTTGGTTCTTAATGACTTTGTGATACTACAGAAGTAATGTTCAATCATTGAAACTGTTTTAACTCAGTGAGCACCCAAGGCTTAGGAATCCTTTATGCAGAAGATATGCTATATGTAATTGCAGTGTGTCCTTTCAAAGGCAGCCCTCCAAATTTTAAGTGCTTGTTTAATTACTAAAATGGTCAAGATTCATCTAAAATAGAGTCTAGTGCTCATGACAAAATGTACCAGTGTTTCCAAATGCAAAAGTAAGGTATGATTGTTAATTCAAGTTGGTAATAATGTCACCAAAATTTTCTGCAAACTCCTCTTACAAGAAGGTGCAGGCCTCAGGAGGTTAGGAAAGTCTGCAGCACGGGTGCTGGCATCCCTCTCAGCTGTGCATATCCTGCCCAGTCCTGCCAGCGTGTGGTCTTTGGACATGGCACACAGAAGGTGCAGCAGAAATGAATGCTGCTTTCCCCACTGCCTCTAGCTTGCCTAACTATGGAGAGAAGTCAGAACTTTTTCAAATACCATTTCCATATCCTATTTCCCTAAGTCCTGCCTCCACTGTCGAGTTACAGCTTCCCACTGTGGATTCCAAGACCTTTATTCATCTCTGATCCATAGCTCACTGCTCTAGTAAGGCTCACTGACCAATGCCTGTCTTCATCTTCCTAGGATCTTTTCTATCTCACAGGCACATTAGAATCACTTAGGGGAACTCAGAAACACACAGGCTCCATCACAGACAATGAGGCCATGCCAGGGTAGGCCCTGACACAAATGTCTTCTTCTGAACCCTGAGTCATTCTCAGGTGCAGTCAGGAACTAACTAGTGCAACAGCACTAGTCCTTGTCTTGGCCCAAAAGATCATCTGGGGAAATGAAAATCCCAAATTATTACTTAATATCTAATAACATAAATATGATTGGTTTAATTATTCTTATTCATAGTTTTTATCTTGTTGTTTACTCACTAAGGTTGGTTAGCAGTTATTGTCTTTATAACACCATTTTAAGAAATTATAAACTCAAGGCCAAGAACTGATTTACCTACGTAGTATCATATGCATCCATAATTTCAAATTGTTTAACCCTTTTTTTTATAATTAGGATTGTACTCTTTATTCTGTAATAAATGCAAGTGTTTATTCTGATGTGTTAAAAACAATCACTAATAGAATCTGGAGTAAAAACAGAAAAGAGAACCCAGAAGTAAAAATCTTAAGTTCTGTAATTTTAGATTCAGAAGGGACCATATTTTACCATCTTCTTCAATCTTCACATTAGAATTGGGAAAACAAGATCTTCATAAATTAGTTTGCCCCACATCAAGTACAGAATGTTATGCTGGGACCAAAATCCAGTTTTTAACCACTCTTGTGGTCTTCCCACAATATACTGAGTATCCCGATGCCCAACACCATGAGGGAAACAAAATGAGACATAGTCTGTGTTTGGGATAGTTTTGTTTTGCTTTATAGTACTGGAGATGGAACTAGGCCTCACACATGCTAAGCAAGTGTTCTACCACTGAGCTATACCTTTGCCCTTGGGTAGCTTAATTTTTAGGCCAGTCTCAAGATTTTAAAGAAAATAATGGCTTTACTAATAAAGACAAAGCCACATAGTTCAGCAAGGTTTTATCGGACATTTTATTTGAAATGAAACCTGGCTATCTTGGGGAGATTTGCTGCACGATGCTTTTATGGCTTCTCTGGTTTGGCTGCATCATTCTGCTTTGACGGGTAGTTAGTCTTAGAGGTGATATTTTTGGAAGAGGCAATTTATTTGACCAAGCTGACAAGAGTCATTTGTGTGATTGTGGCCAGTTATTCATTTAAAAAGAAACTGGAGCAGGGCCAGAAAGGGATGAGTAACACCCTCCCTTGACTCCTAATGACATTTATTTTACAAGACAAGCAGCACCTTCCAGTTCCTTTATGCAAGTGACAATATGCTCTGGTCTAAGGATAGATTCTCTAGTACTAGAAATGTCATACAGTCACTGCCCATTCCCAAGTGAATCCACCAGCCCACAGATCTTGGTGCAGGAGCTGTAGGATTTCCACTACTGACTCCAGCCAACTGAACCAGGATAAGCTCGTAACCACAAGGGTTGGCTGGAAACTTCTGGGTCCTCACATAGGAAGAGGAGCTGGGCAGACTCCTTATTAAAGAATTTACGAAATATCAAAGAGAATCAGCCTCATGAGGTCATGGCACACAGAAACTTATTGGAGCTGGGAGACACAGGAAAAAATAGGCCAGCCTAAATAGAAGCAAAAGATAATGTTAGGCAAAAGGCTGAGCTCCCAGCCACCCTGTGCCCTGCAGGGCAGCTCAGTTTTTGACACTTGCACCTCCAATTCAACCAGGATCTGTGACCTCCTCCTTGTGTCACAGGCTCTGTGCTAAATACTTCACATGGGTTTCCATGCATACCCTAACACCTCTGAGAATAGGTCTCAAATCCCTACTTGACTGATAGTGAAACTAAGGTTCAAGATGGTTAAATAACAGACCTATTACTTAGCAGGACCTGAATCTAGATCTGACCAGAGTTCTTGCCCTTGGCACTGCTCTAACCCACACTGTGCACCCTTACATCAAGGCCCTATGCTCTCCTGGTCCTATCCCATCATCACACCAACCTGACCTAACTCAAGTATCTTTTGCCTGAAAGATCCTGAAACTTTCCAAAACACACAACAGCCTCTCACAGACATGTGAGAAATAAATTCTCCTTTGCTACAGATAGGGAACCAGAATTAATGCAACAGGGCCAGAAGTGTCCCTCAAAACCACAGGAAAAAAACCTATCTGCTAACATCAGAGGTCTTGTCTATAACAACCTTTTGAGAAGACTAGCTATTTACAACCCTCAGACAGCTGCTGAAGGGGCATTTTGATGTTGCAGAAGCCAAGACCTGGGGAGTGGGGGGGGTCCTACCCTTGCCTCAGAGGAAATATGAGCAGAAATTTAGGACTTCCATCCTATTTGAAAGAAAAAAAGGGACTCAGATCCTTTATCAACAAGATTTTTTGGGGACTGTGCATGTTAATGCCTAGCAAGCTACAGGGTTTGGCTGAGAGAAGCCCAGCAGGGATCCCCACCAGTGGTGGAATTGTGGTGGAGGAATTGTGTAGAACATGGATCGAGCCAGAGTCCACCTAAGGTGTCTTCAGTACCAGGTGTCCAGCAGAAGAGGCTCAGAGTCACCTTTCACTTTCTAGACAATCAACCAACTTCCATTTATTCTCACATTTGAGGCTGCACTAGGGGCACATCCAATGGTAACCATGGAAACGTAGTAAGCAGAGTGATTGGTTAGTCAACATCTGGATCTACTCCAGAGGAGAGGGTGCTTGTGTGCCAGTCAGAAGGACAGGCGAGGAGCACAGTTATGGGGTTTCCTCTTCCCTATTGTGTCCCCAGGCCTCAGGTGCTTCTCTCAGCATGGTTTCTCTCAGGAGCACTTGATGGAACATGAATTTCTCCTCCACATGCTGAAAACTTCATTGAACTCTATCTCATCTTTCCCACTGATCCATTTCTGAATCATTAGCAGAAAAACCCTTTAGAGGGGGCCTGGAGTTCTACCTGATGGGGCCTGATGAAGGGAAAGAACAGAACCCACAATAGTTGAACTCCCTGCCTTGTGTCAAGGCTGAGGATTAGGTTTCCACATGCTTGTCTTTCTGGGATGGCCTGCACATTCCCTTTCATAAAGCTTTATGACTCTTGCTCCAGTGGCATTTGGATTATGTTCACTTTTTGCCAAAATTAGGTCCCTGTTGGCTACAGTTCTTAGCAGAAAGGGCTGTGGTATCTATCTGCCGCATTTTAATGCACAGGTCTCTCTTGTTATTAGTTGTATTCTCAGTGAATCTTTTCAGTCAATGAATTTTAGATGTTATCTGGTCCCACATCACATCTAATGTAGGAATCCCTCCTCCAGCATACTCTGGCAGATGCTTGAATCCATTCCAAAGAGAGCTCACCTCCTAAAGATGGTGCCTTGACTCTTTTCCCTTTTAACTGGGGGAATCAAGGTGCAAACCAGAACTGAATCTCACACTAAAGTTCCTAGTGCATCAACGAAGGTAGAACCCTGATTTTGGGATTCCCAGAACTCCTCCAAGTTTTCCTGGTGTGGGCCAGATTGTGGTTAGAAAGCTCTTGATCCCAACATACCAGGGTTCTGCCCATCATTCGTCTTGTTCTATTTCCTTGGATTTTTTTCATTGTCTATAGACTGAAAGTTAAGACAGCAGCCCAGGTCTCACACACATTTCTTATGTCTCCCATAGTCCCTGGTATTATGAATGTCACAAAACAGTGTTTTATAAATGTGACTATCCTGAAGAGCAGACTTTTCAGACAGAGACTTCCCAGGAGCACAGCCAGCTGGACTAACATTCTCTCCTAGGAGGGCTACACAGAATGAGGCAGAGTAAAGGTGGATTCAGTGATAAGGAGAAAACATGTCCCTTCCTTATCACTTATCAAGAAAGTGTCCTGTCAAAATAGTCCCAGACCTTGTTCCAGGCATCAGAGAAGAATCAGAGGAAACAAGAGGGTATGGGAATAAACAACTTTTCTGCCCAAGACATAGGGCTTTTGCATTCTCTCTTCTACCTCAGGCTCTAAGCATGAGCAAAACAATAAATCAAATCAATTTCAGTCAAGTTTCTGCAAGAACCTTTGCTTTGATTTTGCTGTCATATTTAGCTTCACCTGGACAGAGGCCAAAGACAGGGATTTTGGCAGGAGAAGGAATGTATCACAGGAATTTTTTTTTTTTTTTTTAATTTCTAGAGGCTAACTTTCCCACTTTTACCAGTCTCAATTTGCAGTTGAAATTTGAGAGCTATAAAGAAAAAAGGGCTTTTAACTAGTTGCAAAGACGTTGAGGAGCAGAACTAGGTTCAGATCTGCCCAGGTAACAGTGACCCCAAGGAAAAAAACCATGGTAGCTGAGTTACCTAAAAGCGTAACAGGCAAGACAGGTCATCCTTGTCTGCATGTGGTGTTCAGCTCTAAGTGACCTAGGAGGTGCCAATGGAGTAGGGCCAGGTGGGGGGGACCAGACAGCCTCCCTGCTGAATGCGAAAATGAGAATGCCACATTACAACACTGTGACTGGCTAGAGGAAACAAAAGCCCAGAGCTCAGCAGCACTTTCTGAAACTCCTTAATGTTTCAGGAAAGTGCTGTGATCTTTGCTGCTGATCATCATCAAGACAAGCAGATACCAGGAATGGAAAAGCCAGCTTACTAGCTTGGAAAAGATAAGGGAGAATGTGACATAAAACACTCTAAAATTCTGTTTCAGGCACAGGTTTTAAGCAGTTCAAGCAGTTCTATGATTGTTACACCAGCTACTTCTTGGGATCTCTAGCTTTTAAAGCTGGGCTGAGAACTCTGCTTCCAATTTTCTAACCAGGACCTTGGCAAAGATTTCTGACAGTTTAAATACCAATACAACAGCTTGAATGCTTCGAACCAAGCCAGCAAAAGTTAAGAACTGTTCTCCTAAATAAGCTATTTAAGTCGGGTTTTTGTTCGCAGGTATTGACAGAATGTATTAAAAGACAAGGTGGGAAAGCTAGGAGGCAGTCTCAGTCCTCCTGTTTCAGGGACAGGCGGCTGCGCAGCTGTGTGAACAGAGCCCGGCTGGTGTCCAGGAGGCAGCAACATAAACAGTGGCTAAGGCCCATTCTTCCAAAGTTACCTCACCTGGAGGAATTAATGAAAGGCCTGGCACATTCTCATGCCTGATGACCTGCTTCATGCTTGAGGGCTCTTTCCATGCACTTATCTCTACCTAGACGCAGTCGGTTCTCATTTTGCTTTCCTGGAACAGGATAAACTGAGGTTGACTCTTGCTTCCCAACCTCTCTGTAATATTTTTGACTTCTGTTTTTGTGGTATCTTTGAAAAGATGGGGCTGCGGGGCTCCTTTCCAGGTCTTTCTGTATTTCTGGTATTGTACTTTTGTTAAGTTCCAAAACATAAGCATATCTCCAGTGAAGTATAGAGGAACCAAATCTCTTATGCGTCAGATAATAATTACTGCGAGTGGTGGAGGGCTTGGGGGCTTCATATAGACTTTCTGTCCTGTCGTGAGCGTAGCTAAACCAGACTTACAACCCACCCCCTCCACTCCCTTCCCCATACCACTGATTGGTCTCTAGACCTTCCGTGCTAACACCCAGGCCAGAGGTTTCGAGGCCAGCTAGGAGTGGACCGGGTGGGTCGGGGGGCCGTGTGGCAGGGTCGCTTTCGCCCACACAGCCTCCATTGTGGCCCGAACGCAGGTGGTCCTTGAGCGTCTGCTTGTAGCGGAAGCTCCTGCCACAGAGGGCACAGGGGTAGGGCCTCTCGCCCGTGTGGATGCGCTGGTGCTTCATGAGGTGATGCTTGCGGATGAAGCTCTTTCCGCAGTGCGCACACTGGAAGGGCCGCTCACCCGTGTGCAGCCGCCGGTGGTTGAGCAGATGCTCCTTGCGCATGAAGCTCTTGCTGCAGTCAGTGCAGGGATATGGCCGCTCGCCTGTGTGGATCATCTGGTGGCGGATCAGGGCCGAGTGGCCATTGAAGTCGATGCCACACTGAGGGCAGGAGAATGGGCGCTCCTGTGCGTGCCCACGCTGATGCAGCAGGAGGCTGATCTTCAGGCTGAAGCTCCTGCCACACTGTGTGCAGCGGAAGGGCCTCTCACTGGCATGAGCCCGCCTATGACTCGTGAGTCGCGCCTGGTCAGCAAAGCGCTTGGGGCAATCCGGACAGGGGAAAGGGCGCTCAGTGCTGTTATGGACTCGAAGGTGGTAGGTGAGTCTTGAGGGGTGAGTGAAAGTCCGGGCGCAATGTGGGCAGGTGGGGGGTGGCTCACTGGCATGGTCCTGGGAGGTGCTGCCAAGGTCCGTCTGCGGGGCAAAGTGTTTGGGGCACTGGGCACAGGGTAAGGGATGCTCGCTAGTGTGGCCACATTGATGAGTCAGCAACATGTCCTGGTTTAGACTCTTGCCACAGTGGTGGCACGAGAAGAGCTGCTCCCCAACTGGAGGTGGGAGAGGGTAGCTACCCAATTGAGTAAAAGTCACTTGTCCCTCTGAGGCTTCAGGCAAGTCACTGGCTGCACGTCCAAAAGGTGTCATGGGAGTGGACTGCTGGTGTTTGAAAGCCACATCTGAAAAAGCATCCTTTGCTGCTGGTGGTGCTGGAGCAGAGAACGCAACAGGAACTTCAGGGCATAAGGAGGCTCTAGCAAGGCCCTCGGCTTTGATGACGAGCTCTTCATCTGAAAGAAAGGACTCAAGAGTTACTCCCCTCAGGAGCTGTCTCACTGGCAACCCTCACAAGTTCCTACCCAGCTCCAACAGGTTTGCTCTCAGCTCTGAGCTGCTAAGATAAACAACACAGCAGAGGGCTGCTGTGATATTAATCAAGGTGTAGCAGTCCCTGTGGCAAATCAGAATTAAGGCTGTACTCTTTGATGCTCCCTGTTGAAAAAGGAACACTCTTGGCATCAGTCTTCTCCACATTACTGTATGTTTCACCTCTGCTCAAGAACTTTATTGCCTGTTGGGACAATGCCTAAAATCACCTATTTATCTATTCTTATTCTTCTCTGTTCCACTTTCCCTGAAAATAGGGTAAGCATTTTACTTCTGCATCTGTTCTCCCTTCTGTAGAATACCTCCCTCCTTTCCCCATCTTACCAAATTATATCCAGCCATCTCAAACCAATTACCCTTCTAGGCCCACTTCTGGCTTCATGTCCTTCTTTATACCTTATTTAAATATCAGAAATATTCTCATTTCTGTTATGCTTATATAGCCCTTGCCACATAACAACATATGTGTTCCCAGGGTCAGTTTCTTGAAGGACAGAAACTGTCTTATTTTTCATTTGTACTTTACTGAATCTAAAGGAATACAGGGCTTGGAAGATATTTTTAAAAGAGTGTATTTAGTTATATAAACAGTTGGATCACTTCTGACCTTGAGATTCTCTTTTATAATTCCACTGGCAAAATGGAATTATAAAAATATCTTAGAAGGAAGCCATTTCTATTTCTTCTCCCATCATCGCTTTTCCTTTCATTGAATGTGATTAACATTTCCACTTGCATCTCTTCAACAACATTCCTGTCTCTATCACCTGTCTCCCCACCCCACTCCCTATTTTTGTTTTATACTTTTTACATGATCTTCAAATGTTTTTCTGTCTTTTCCCATCTTCATACTTCTGGTCCATCTGAATGCACTTGTTTTTCTTCCTTTCATAATTCCAATTTGTTTTTTATTATAGTGCTTGGGATTAAGCCCAAGGACATGTGCATGCTAAGAACATGTTTTACCACTGAGCTCCACCCCCAGCTCTAACCATTCCAATTTGTCTTTCATTTGAGTGTGTTTTCTCACTTGCAATTCATCTTAGTGCCTTTTATGGCTTAATTCGACCAGGTCTTTTTTTCTCCCACTACTTTGCCTTTAAAACCCCATTCCTGCTGCGGCTTCTCTGGTCACTCCTAGCATAAACTGGATTTGGACAGGAGCATCTGTCTGGGCTGTTACTCACCTGCATGGGTGCCTTTGTAGATATCGCTCTCCTTGGACTCCTGTGGGGCCCCAACCTGAGGCTCTTCCTCTTGTTTAATCCAAGACAGAATATCTGATGTTGAAAGACCAGGCTCTATTTGTGGGGGAAAAGAGAATGAACTTCAGGGACTTGAATCAGAAGACAAAATTAATCACATTGGTTTGTAGAACACTGCATTTTGCCCAAATTTTATTTCTAACTAACTGTAACAAGATAGGCAGCTTATAAGAAAATGCATAAAACTCTAGAGAATCATTTCAAAATGAAATCAAATTGATGTATTTTTATATGATATTCTCGGCTTGATTCTCTTGTTTTCAGTGAGCCTATTAAAAAACAAATTACAATCTTTATTTTGGAGACGATATTCTGAAATAATCTAGAAAAACAGTACTTTTAATTTCAGTAGCATTCTTTTTTTAAATATTTATTTTTAGTTTTAGTTGGATTCAATATCTTTTTATTTATTTATTTTTATGTGGTGCTAAGGATCAAACCCAGGGCCTCACACATACTAGGCAAGTACTCTACCACTGAACCACAACCCCAGCCAAGTAGCATTCTTAATTTATCTATCTATTTAGTTATTTATTTTACTTGTAGATGGACACAATACCTTTATTTTATTTATTTATTTTTATGTGGTGCTGAGGATCAAACCCAGTACCTCACACATAGTAGGCAAGCACTCTACCACTGAACTACAGCCCCAGCCCGGTAACACTCTTATATTCAACATATTTTCACTTTTCTCTCACAGTTTGTGAAACAGCAGAGCAGGCAATATTTTCTCCTTTTAAGTAGAAGAGCCTATAGGTTAACTAAATTACCGGTAAGGAAGTATTTACAGTGAAGTACCATATTATCAAAGATTTGCACACAAAAAGAAAATAAGCAAAGAATGAGGATGACCAAAATGGCTTTTTAAACGTTAATTAAAAGAGAAATATACTTCCAGAATTACAAAATCAAATCAGTTTAAACACAGAATTTGACTCCTCAAAAATATACTTTCAAAAAAAAAAAAAAATATATATATATATATATATACTTTCAGATTTCCAATTCTGGACTTCTCCTCAGATATCATATTATCTTTGCTTATTAAATGATACAGGCCATTGGGTCCTGAGCCCTGGTCCTTCAGGTCTTGGGATTCTTTTAGAACAAAAACAGCATTGCCTCTGAAGGCCTCATTTGGTCAGTGCAGATGCTTGCTATTCCAGCCTGGATCTGGGTGGCCTTTTTTGGCCTAAAAGGACAAGCTGGCAAGCTGGCAAGACCCAGAGAGTAAACTCAAGCTCTCTATAGTTATTTCTCAAAAAAGCCTTGTAGGCAGGGTATGGTTTTATTTCTAGCAAATGAACAGCACTCACTCTTTTGCCCAGTGCTTTTAAGTCAGCTGGAGATGGCTGGAATCTAATGTGTGCTGAGATCAAAAAGAAGCAGTGGGTACAACCAGGGCCAAACACTGTCCATTATGTGGAGAGCCGGGAGTGCAGGTTTGCACACAGGCGGCAGGCTGCCTTCCCACTTACTACGTGGGCTGCAGGCATGGCTGTGTCACCAGTGCAGCTTTATCTTTGTTCCCACCCAGACCTTATACAAACACACAGACATAAAGAAAAAGGGGCAGTGGGTGTGAAGAAGAGGAGCTCCTAAGAAACACTTCAACCATCAAAAACATGGCTTACATTAAGGCTTACCTGTTTCTCTTTCACAATTTTCTCTTTCGCAAATAATGAGTTAGTGCTCTAGAAACCTCCAAATGCCATTCAAGCGGATTTGACTTTACATTATTGTTGATCATTACAAATTGATAGAATGTTATATATTTGATTAGCATCAATCTACTGTAGTCATTATTCTTTTTAAGACTTAATTTTTCTCTTCTTTGGCCAATGGAATAGGCCTGATGTGCTTCTCATATGACCCCAGATGCCTGGTTTCCCTCATTTCTGGCATGACAAACTATAGCAGGCTCAGCTAGTAAGTACATTTCTTTTTCTTTTAAATATTTTTGTTCTTTTTTTAAAAAAATCTTTTATTTTTTAGTCATAGATGCACACAATATCTTTTTTATTTTTATGTGGTGCTGAGGATTGAACCCAGTGCCTCACAAGCGCTCTGCCACTGAGCCACAACCCCAGCCCTGGGGTTTTTGTTCTTTTTACTTACATACAACAGTAGAATCTATTTTGGCGTATTGTACATTGAGTATAACTTCCCATTTTTGTGGTTGTACATGATGTGGTGTTACACTGGTCATGTATTCATATATGAACGTAGGAAAGTTATGTCTGATTCATTCTACTGTCTTTCCTATTCCCATCCTCCCTCCCTTCCCTTCATTCCCCTTTGTCTAATCTAATGAACTTCTATCCCCCCTGCTCCCCATTGTGTATTAGCATCTGCACATCAGAGAGAACATTTGGCCTTTGATTTGGGGGATTGGCTTCCTTAACTTAGCACAATAATCTCCAGTTCCATCTATTTACCAGCAAATGCCACAATTTCATAGTTCTTTATGGCTAATAATATTCCATTGTGTATATATACATTTTCTTTATCCATTCATCTATTGATACCTAGCTTGGTTCCATTGTGAATTGAGCTGCTATAAACATTGATGTGTCTGTATCACTATAGTATGCCAATTTTAAGTCCTTTTGGATATAAACCAAGGAGTGGAATAACTAGGTCAAATGGTAGTTCCATTCAGAGTTTTCTGAGAAATCTCCAGACTGCTTTCCAGAGTGGTTGCACCATTTTGCAGTTCCACCAGCAATTTATAAGTGTACCTTTTCCTCCATATCCTCACCAAGATTTATTGTTACTTATATTCTTGATAATTGCCATTCTGACTGGAGTGAGATGGAATCTCAGGGTATTAGAGAATTTGCATTCTTTAATTGCTAGTGATATTGAACATTTTTTCATATATTTTTTAACTATTCATATTTCTTCATCTGTGAAGTGCATGTTCAGTTCCTTTGCCCATTTATTGATTGGGTTTTTGGGGTTGGGTTTTTTTTTTTTTTCTCTCTCTCTGTGTGTGTGTGTGTGTGAGTTCTTTATATATCCTGGAGATTAATGCTCTGAGGCAGGTGGCAAAGATTTTCTCCTATTCTATAGGCACTCTCTTCACATTCTTATTTCCTTTGCCGTGAAGAAACATTTTAGTTTGATACCATCCCATTTATTTATTCTTGATTTTACTTCTTGTGCTTTAGGACTCTTGTTGAAGAAGTCAGTTCTTAAGCTGACATGATAAAGATTTAGGCCTATTTTTTTTTTCTAGTGAGTTTTGTGCAGGGTGAAAGCAGGGGTCTAATTTCATTTTGTTACATATAGATTTACAGTTTCCCAAGCCTCATTTGTTGAAGAGGCTATCTTTTCTCCAACCTATGTTTATGGCACCTTTGTCTAGTATGAGATAACTATATTTATGTGGGTTTGTCTCTGTATCTTCTATTCTGTACCATTGGTTTTCATTTCTGTTTTGGTTCTAATACCATGCCATTTTTGTTACTATAGCTCTGTAATATAATTTAAGATCTGGTATTGTGAAGCCTCCTACTTCACTTTTCTTGCTGAGGATAGCTTTGACTATTCTGGGCCTCTTATTTTTCCACATGAATTTCATGACTGTTTTTTATATTTCTATGAAGAATATTATCAGAATCTTAATAGGAGTTGCATCAAATCTATATAGCACTTTTGGTAGTATGGCCATTTTGACAATATTAATTCTGCTTATCTAAGAACATGGCAGATCTTACCACTTCTTCAATTTCTTTCTTTAGTGTGCTGTAGTTTTCATTGTAGAGGTCTTTCACCTCTTTTGTTAGATTTATTTCCAATTTTTTTGAGGCTATTATGAATGGGATAATTTTCCTACTTTGTCTTTCAGCCAATTCATCACTGATGTATAGGAATGCAATTGATTTATGGGTGTTGTTTGAGTTCTTTTCTTATTGTATCCCTTTAATTTCTTTCTTCTAATTTATGTGGGTTTCCAGGACTAGGTTGAATAGAGATAGTGAAAGAGGGCAGCCTGGGCCAGGGATATAGCTTAGTGGGTAGAGTGCTTGCCTTGCATGCATAAGGCTCTGGGTTCAATCCCCAGCACCACCAAAAGAGTAAAAGAGTGCATTCTTGTTTTGTTCCAGTTTTTAGAGGGAATGCTTTCAAGTTTTCTCCATTTAAAATGATATTGGCCTTGGGTTTAACTTACAAAGCTTATAAAATGTTGAGGTACATTTCGACTATCCCTAGTTTTCCTAGTATTTTGAACATGAATGGATGCTGAATTTTGTCAAATGCTTTTTCTGTATCTATTGAGATAATCATATGATTCTTGTCTTTAAGTCTACTGATGTGATGAATTTTGTCTATTGATTTCCTTATGTTAAACCAACCTTGCATCACTGTAGTAAATAAATACATTTCTTGTCCCAGGCTCAAAAATCAATGACCACTCTGAGAAATGGGACTTAAGACAAGGCTGCTAATTACAAATCAAGTGTTTTAGTCAGGTTTTTGATGCTGTAACTAAAAGTTCTGACCAGAACAATTTTAGGGGAGGAAAAATTTATTTAGGGGCTCACAGTTTCAGAAATCTCAATCCATAGACAGCAGACTCCATTCCTCAGGGCTCACAGTGAGGCTGAACATCATGGTAGAAGAGTGTGGTAGAAGGAAACGCTCACATGATTATTATGAAGCAGAGAGACCTCCACATGCCAAATACAATTATGTACCCCAAGGTACACCCTACCCGCCTTCAGCCATCATACAATTAATCCCATCAGGTGATTGATTCACTAATTGGGTTAAGGCTTTCATAACCCAATCATTTCTTACCTGAACCTCCTTTTTTTTGGGGATGTGGGGGCTTCCAGGGATTGAACTCAGGAACACTCAGCCATTGAGCCATATCCCAGCCCTATTTTGTATTTTATTTAGAGACAGGGTCTCACTGACTTGCTTAGTGCCTCGCTTTTTGCTGAGGCTGGCTTTGAACTCGTGATCTTCCTGCCTCAGTCTCCCAAGCTGCTGGGATTACAGGTGTACACCACCACACCTGGCTTCCCTGAACCTTCTTGTATTATCTTACACGTGAGCTTTGGGGGATATCTTACATCCAAACTATAATATCAGGTATCATTGTTTCTAGATCTTTTCAATGGACAAAGTTATAAAAGACATACTTCTTAGAGAAAGAAAAGTGTTATGAGTCCATATTAATATTTCTGATTCATATGTAAGATTACTGGGTTTAAATTAAATCCTTTTGTTTTATACTAGTATTTTTCCTCTCTTACCCTGAAAAAGCTTAATTTCTAATGACATTAACGTGGTCTTTGCTTCATCTAAGTATATTCCAAAATGATACCAATATACTAATAAAATATGAATGCAAAGTTGTTGTTTTGTGGTTCTTTTAGTCTTTGGGATGTGTCTCTCTATGGACATACAGTTAAAACATTAAATTTTAAAGTCACTTGAAATAAATCTGTGTGTGTTCATGTCACCTACCATACCATTAGGTTTGGATATCTTATTATGTATTTGATTTTCAAAACATTCAAAATATATTTCAAAATATTCAAAATCAAATACATAATAAGATATCCAAAAAAATATTCCAAAAAAAATATTTACAGCATTCTAAAATCAAAGCTATAAAATAAGGTATATTTAGAGAAGTTTACGTTCTATCTCTATGGTTCCATCTCTATACAGAGAAAGTCATTCTGGTTTGTTTTTGTTTTAATGTTCCATCGTTTCTTTGTGAATATATAAGCAAAAATGTATACATTCATACCTTCCCTCTCTGACCCAGTATGGCATACCACATAAAATACACAAACTACACCTTGGATTTTTCACTTCATAATATATTTTGGAGATCTCTCTATAGTGGTAAGACCTTTCTCACTCCTTTTTATAGTCGTACTACGTAGCTGCAGCATTGTTTATTCAAGAATCCCTGATTGATAAGCATTTGGATTCTTTCCAGTCTTTTCCCTACAATATTAGTTAGAAGCCAACCATAAAAGCTATGAAGAGCTAAACAACAAGCCAGTTCTCTAGAAATTTAAGTGGCTGGCACTACTAGAATCCCCTTGCTAAATGTCTTGCCTGGACTTGGGACATACCAAGAAGCTAAATTTCTTTTCTTTCTTTTTAATATTTATTTTTTATTTTAAGTGAACACAATATCTTCATTTTATTCTTATGCGATGCTGAGGATTGAACCCACTGCCTCACACATGCTAGGCAAGCACTCTACCACTGAGCTACAACCCTAGCCCCTGAATTTCTTTTTCCCTTTTTTTTTCCCTCCCTTTTTTGAGATGGGGTCTAGTTGTCCAGGCTGGTCTCAAACTCTTGAGCTCAAATGATCTTCCCACCTCAGCTTCCCAAGTAGCTGGGACTAGAGGCCCACATTACCACATGCAGCTCCCTTCTTTCTGAATGATGCCAAACGTCTAAAAGTTCCTCTGGCCATTTAACTAGCTGGATCAAAACAACTAAATAAATATGTATTTTATCAGATTACTGGTTCTCAGCACTGCTATCACAGAACACACAGAACACTGCAGTGTCAACCACAATCTAGGGAGAGCAGTGCGAGTATATAAGGAGGGCCTTGAGAAAGTGAAACAGAATCGGAGAGCCTGGAGCTTGGATGGCCTGGTGCAGACACCTGCTCTGAGACAGCACAACAGACACTGGTCAGGTCAGCACAGTGGCACTACAGGCATATTCCTCACAGGCCCAATGCTGAATGCACAAAAGGAAAGCCATGTCATTGGACCATGCAAGTAGCAGGCCACGGGGAAAACCAGAGAATAGAGAAAAACTGGATACCAATCAAGTGAGAAAAACTAGATAAATGCTGAGATTTTATGTTTGAGAGTGGTTAAAAATAAAAAGGCTAATCACAATAAATATAAATTTAATGTCTATATTGATTGAATGCTATTTTAAGTGTGAATCTGATTGAGTTAATTTGTTTCTGCGTGTTTTAAACTTATATGTACCATGCTTTCTGAAAGGGGGCTAGAAACTCGAGGTTCTCGGATTTGTGCAAAGGTCTAGAAAAGCAGCTAAGATAAAACATGTTGAGATCTGGCTTCTAAGAAAGTTATAAAAATACTTGAGATGGGTAACAACTATTGGTTAAAAGTACAGACACTTAAAAAAAAAAAACAAACTTTGTAAAACAGGTGTAGGTCTATAACCTAGCCAGGTGAATGTGCTAAATATTTGTGCAATAAGTTAAAACCTCTATATTTTGATGATTCTTATTCACAAATAAATTAAGCTAATGTAGTCTTGAAGCAAAAATACAGGATTATTATAAATTAGGATATGACTTAATCATTGATTTTATTTAAGAAAAATGATTTTAGGGGCTGGGGTTGTGGATCAGTGGTAGAGTGCTTGCCTTGAATATGTGAAGCACTGGGTTTGATTCTCAGCACCACATATAAATTAAAAATAAAGGTTCATCAACAACTAAAATTAATAAAATAAAAATTAAAAAATAAAATGATTTTACTGAATTAAAGTGACCAGAGATAAAGATAGGATAACAGCAATGAACTTTGATGGTCAAAAACATCTCCCTGGACTGTAAGTTTAAGAACTGAGTTAATTTTGGGTCATTCTAAAATCTTGGCCTGAGTCCATGGCTTCTAATTTCTTTACCCCTTTTTGGTACTGGGGTTTGATCCCAGGGCATTTTACCTTTGAGCCACATTCCCAGTCCTTTTTATTTTTTATATTGAGACAGGGTTTCACTAAGTTGCTTAAGGCCTCACTAAGTTGCTGATGTTGGCTTTGAACTTGCCATCCTCCTGCCTCCAAAAAGATATTTTTTAAATCCTGTCACAAAAGTAACCTAACGTTAGTACCCTCCACCTAATATTTGTGTGGAACAGTCTTTTAATGACTATGACTAGACAGTGATTAAATACTATTCTTCAGTGAAAGGAGAAGATTCAAAATAGGCCTCAGACTTAGAAGGGCCTGCTTGCAGGGTCCATCCCTGACTAGCAAACCATTTTCTACACTGATATAAAACTTTCCCTAAATGCTAAAAGTAACTCATTCTGCCTAAACTATTTGTCAAGCAGTGTGGCTTATACCGGCTGCCTACTTTTCTTCTGGGAGTCTGGAATTTGGGTATGGGCAGAGGGTGTCTGTGTGACAGCCTCTAACTGAAGACCCTGGTACTGAGTATCTGGTGAGATGCTCTGGTTGACAACACTCTGTATGTGTTGCTGTAATTCACCGTGGGGGAAAGTAAGTGTGTTCTGCAAAGTCCCTGGGAGAGGCTTAGGGAGGCTTGTCTCTCCTTTCCTCGGTACCTTTTCCCTTTGATGATGTTGCTTTGTGTCCTTTTGCCATAACAAATCTTAGCTATGAGTACTACTAAATGCCCAGTTCTGTGAGGTTTTTTTTTTTTTTAATGTAACATATTGATTGACCCAAGTCACATGAGTCCTATTCTCGAGTTTGGATAAATATCTAGTTTGAGAATCATGAATGGAAGCTAAAACTATAAAGAATAAAATCAGAGTGTTAAATAAATCAAACACATTGTTCATTTTCAGTAAAAAATGTATTAAGGTATGCAGGTTGACTACCCAGAAACAGAGTCTTAAAAACCAAGGCTTTTAAAATAAATTCACAAGATAACAGCTAAATGAAACTTTGATACATCATTATCAAACCAAATTACTTGTATCTTTTTTACCCATCCCCCCAAAATAAAATGATACAATTAATCTAGCTGAGAACCATCAGGCACTTAACAATATGGACTAAAGAGATACATGGATAATGAATCTTTCTATAATCAAATCACCCATCTGGTGATGTTATTTTAGACATATTCTTTATCATGATAGAGATTAATCAGATTAAACCTATTTCAATACCTATATGCAATCATCCACACATTCTTAAAAAATATGTATAGCAGATGTATGTATTGCTCAAAACCCAGAGAAGATACACTTAAGATTTGAACATTTTGTAAAATTTACCTCAAAAGGAAAAAAAAATATTGAATCCTAGGTTAACAATATTGATGCTGAACTATTTAGAAGGAAATGTACTGATGTCTGTACTGATTTTACATATGTCAAAAACAGAACAGGTTGATGGATGAATGGCCAGATAGAGGGGTACAGAGATAGATATATGTGAATTAAGAAGGCTGAGAAACTGTTAGTGGTAGAATCTTGTGCTGGATAGCTAGGTGTTTACTATAAAATTGCTTCAATTTTTCTGTTTGAAATTTTTCAAAATAAAAAGATATTTTAAAAAATGCCAGTGTAGGGGATAGTGATCAAAGTTCATCTGATAAAGGTATCTGGAGAGTAAACTTTCTGTGAACTTCTACTCAGCAAAGAAAAAAGATGTATGAGGATTTTCTGACAGCCAAGGTAGGACATGAGATGGTACAACAGGACCACAGCTTTCTCTGCTAGCTCTCCAGATCTGGGAATATCCACACTAACCAGACAGGTGAAATCAGGGTCCACTGGTTAAGGGTACTCTGGAGGGACTATGTGGACTGCTAGGCCTCTGTACCTCTCAGGCACACCTTCCCAGAGCCTCTGCACTCCACACCTGCATGATTCCTTGTCATGTAAGCATGTTTATTTTAGTAAATAACTAGGGTTTAGTACTTTCATCAAGGACCCTTAGATGTGTGGTAACGATCAGTGATGGCAATATACAAGGTGATCTCCAAGCTCTTCTATATTTACCAAGATAGAAATACCCATTCAAAGTCTAGTTGATTTACCAATGAATGGCTCAGGAAGCCCTGAAATCCTGCTTACTTAGTTCTGACCAGGAAAGGGAGATGAAGAGTGGATAATCTCTACTCCCACTTACCTTCACTGGGGTCTGCAGGAATTTCACTTGCCTCTGGTGCTGTCTGGTTCTCTGTATTATGTTCTCCTTCTGGTTGAATCTGAGATAAGACATCAGGTTGGTTCATGGCATAATCTACGAGAGGAAAAAGGGAGAGCGGGTATGACAGAGCTAAATGAAGTATGACGACCAACAGCCATTAAGGCTGAGTACAATCTTTAAGGTCCCCAGGAATTTCTTTCAGATTGAATATGGCTTCTCTACATCAATTCACTTCCAACAAAAGATGATAACTACTCAAGAAAGCAGGTACGAGCAAATGTACTATGAGGTGAAGCAATGTGCCAGGTGAGCTCTGCCCACTGCTCCTTTCATGGGGATGAGAATGACAGCAGGCCTCAAGGGAGAGCGGTTAAGCTCCTTTAAATGTGAAGGACACCCAGGGAAACCCCCAGTTCACAAGACTCACAGCCCTGAATGTCATTCTTCCCTAGGATTTGGCAAAAGGAGGGATTATGATATCCTACTTAGCAAGTGTGAATTGGCCTTTTTAGCTTGGAAACTAAAAACTTGGACATCTCTCATTTCATTGTGCAATAAAGACACAATGAAAATGAGGACAGTAAAGGAAAAGAGTCTGTCTCCGCCCTCTCTGGGGCTGCTGTCACCTCATTCAGAAGGTCCCAACTCAGCCTCACCCATGGAGATAAGAGATTCGTAGTTTCCCTTCATGATATTCTTGTAAAGCTCCTTTTGCCATTCTTCCAACTTTTCCCACTCTGGAGTGGAGAAGTAGATGGAGACATCATCAAATGCCACAGGCACCTAAAATTACAATCACATGGGTTAGTCCCACCCATTGCAATTCAGTCATTCAGTAACTGCCCCCATTAGTTCCTTTTATTATTATTATTTTTTTACATTCTCAAAGGATTGGCAATGAGTATTCTAAATAGCTCATAAGTTGTTAATGCTCCACTTTTTATTAGTACAATCCTAAAATCTCAACACATAACATGTAGCTGGCACATTTCTTGAGGCATATTTAAGTGTTTTGCAAGCAGTAAGAAAGCATCTCAATGCCACACAGTAAACTTCAAGTTTTTCTGGGCTAGGGTTGTGGGCTCATTGGTACAGCGCTCACCTAGCATGTGCGAGGCACTGGTTCAATCCTCAGAACCACATATAAAATAAATAAATAAAATAAAGGTATTGTGTCCAACTACAATTAAAAAAATTTTTTTAAATATTTTTTACATGTTGGTGTACCTTTATTGTTTATTTATTTATATGTGGTGCTGAGGATCGAACTCAGTGCCTCACACATGCTAAGCGAGCCACTCTGCTGCTGAACCACAACCCCAGTCCCCCAAAAAATATTTAAATAAAACAAAACTTCAAGTTTTCCTGCATCTCTCATTTCATCTATTTGATATGCCTTTCTTCAGGAACAGTTTTCCTCGGGAGAGTTGATTCCTCTAGCACTTCCTCTTCTAGTTCTAATCTCCTGCAAAGCAGAGGTCCATCCTCTGATACTGTTCCTCAAATCTATGAGGAGGAAAGGAAGTTCCATGCCCAGTGACTGAAAGCTAACAGGACTGACACCAAGAGCATGTAAGAGAACAAAATTCGACTACAAAATTCATTATGGCTTCTCTGTATAGCCTTTAGTCTTTTTTGAAGTCTTTCATATTCTTTTTGTTTTTATTGTTCTTACATTTACTTTCCTTCAAATTTATTGTGCTTTTCTGTAATGATGTAAAAAGTGTTCCTTTTCCCATACATTGAGGTGTTCAAAATTCTAGGTCCTAATCTTGGACTAATCTATCTCTCTGCTATCTTATGTGTTTATTCAGTTTATATAAATTAAATATGTCCTTATTTAGTATATAATAATATATATTATCTTACACAGATATACATGAGCTTTTTATCTCATCATTTGACAATACAATTTTATATTTTACCCAGCTATTTCTTGTTCAAGTCATTTGCAAAGGCAAGATGGTTTCTGAAGAAATCCTGTTTGGTGGGTAAAGGATCCATAGAAGGATTCTCATTATTGTCTGAATTCTGATCCACTGGACCTGGAAATGGGAAAACTTTGATGTTACCACCACCCCCAAGGACCACAGAAATCCTAATTGTGTTCATTTATAAGTGCTTGCAGAAGTTACACCAAAGGCCCCTGTCACATTTTGCCCAGGGTGATATTGGAAGATATTGGTGACTGGAAGACATTATTCACATTCTCTTTCTTCCTTTGGACAGAATCTGCTGATGTCCTCTAATTGTATCTGCCTCCTTACTTCAAGAGCTCTTTCTTCCCTTTTGGAACCTCCACTGAGGCACAAGGTCCAGATTGCCTTGCAGTCTTACCTTCCATGTTCTTTGAATGATAGAATTTGTTTCAAATTCTTCTCTACAGGCCTCTAAAACTTCTGCCTTCTCCTTCGATTTCTTCAGCTTGTTTGTGAAGGGATTCCCTGTCTCTAGGCAACTGTAGTCCACTGCAGTTTCCTTCCCGCTCAACTGGATGCCTATGCTTTTCTTCAACCACCATGTCTATTCTTTCTTTTCCTCTTCCACTACCTTTTCAACTCATAGCTGCACTTTTTCGGCTCAGCTTCTTAAATGTTGGCATTCCTATTTCAGCTTTTCACTGTTCCCTTTAGCATTTGGTTTGAATTCGTCAAATCCACTCTGACTGTGCAAGGGAGATCTTGCATCTGCAAACTACTCCTTTGTTGTTTCAGGTCAGAATTTTCATTTTTCCTTTCTCTGCATTTTTGGTGTTCACAGTTTGTCGACATTTCAGCCTAATACCATGAAGATCCTTCTGGCCGACTCTCTTGCCATGTATGGAGCAGATTTCTCCTCACACAGATCCTTTTCAGAGGGTTTCCAGACTTTCAGTTCCACTTTTCATTTTCTCTAGATCTGCTAACTTGTTCTTGAACTCCAGCTTTTCATTTTGTTGTATATTAATTTTTTATAACCTCATTCCCTGGCAGCTTGTACTTTTTATATATTAATTTGTAACCATTTTTTCTTTCAGAGACATGGTCTTGCTATTTTCCCCAGGCTGGCCTCCACTTCTGGGGCTCAAGCAATCCTGATGTCATCTCCCCCCACTCCAAAAAAAGCTAGACTATAGACACATGCCACTGTGCTGTGCTCCTTTCCTATCAAGAGCACCTGGTGCTCAGTGGCTGACATTCTACTGACTCAGTTATGTTCACCCAAGTCTTATTCCTTTCTCAGCTCACTCCTAGAGCTTGCTGCTTCACTTTTATTTGTTTTAAATTCTTGGGGCACTTTACCACTAAGCTACAACCCCAGCCCTTTTCTTTTTTTAAAATATCTTTATTTTTATTTATTTATTTTATGTGGTGCCAAGTATCAAACCCAGGGCTTCACACATGCGAGGCGAGCACTCTACCACTGAGCTACAGCCCCAGCCCATAGCCATTTTCATTTTGAGACATAATCTCATTAAATGGCTGAGGACCTCACTAAGTTTCTCAGACTGGCCTCAAACTTGGGATCTTCCTGCCTCAGCCTCCCAAATTGCTGGAATTACAAGTATGCACCACCATGTGTGACCTATCTTTAGTTTTATCTATTATGTTTAGTCACCTATTTTGAATATTTAAGTTATTTATTGGTCAGTGTATTTCTTTCTTGTTCAATTTTATATTATTTACTGATTAAGAGATACTTTGTTGCTTGACTATAGTGGCTGCCAGCCCCCACAGTTGGGCTTCTAGTCCAGTAGGCAAGTATTCAACCACTGAGTTCCACCCCCACCCATTTGCAGCTTTCTTTCCAAGAATTTGGCCCAATAGTTTAGCTAACTTTTTCAGTCTGACTGTAGCCTGAATATCAGCCAACCACCACACCTGTATTCTTTGGCCGTTTTCTACCTAAGCACCAGAATTCTCTTTTTCGGTCCTTAATTCTGCTGTCTGCCTCTTAATATTTTCATTTCTGATATAAGTAGCATTTTTCTTGGACAAGCCACTCCATTCCTGTGCTGCCTCTTAAGGGATCAACACCAAGTTTATAGTTTATGTAGTTCTTCATCTTTCTTCAGGCTTGCAATCTCTGACTTATATGTCTGTTCTTCTAAATCACCTTTAAATTCTGTTTTTAGTGTTCAGGTTCTGATTTGAGAAACATGTCATAGAAAAGCTTATCATATTCAACTCGATACTTTTCCCCTTCTACACCCAGATTCCAAAAATACACTCTGTCATTGGAGTCTCTAATTCTTTGTTGTATTTGGGGTCTTAACAATTGCTGAGAGCCACGGCCGAGTCTGTATGGCCCCTGGCATTTTGCCAACAGTATTGATTGACAGGCGAGGCATTACTATCCGCCTCTGCTGCAACTTTTGAGTTCTCGCACTATTTTGGAGTTCTCATGGGGATTTCCAGGGATTCCCCGAGAGTTCCCATTGGTTGGGGAAGTGCAGGAGGAGGGATTTCCGGAGAGATATTTCCGGCTGGGGGTTCCTGGACAAGCCTCCTGGCGCGTTCGGGAGGATTCCCCGGGAGCTGTGTGAAGTGTTTTCCTGCAGTTTAAAAATAAAGTTTGTTCCTGCTTCAGTGGCTCGTGATTTGTGCCCAGCCAGACTGCGGCATTTGGTGGCCCGTACGGGGAGCCCCAGGACACTCGGGGGTAAGTGACGAAAAAAAAAAAGCTGCCCGTCCATAGATAGGACGGGAGCAATCTGCTCGTCCCTAGGCAGATAGGGCGAGAGGAAAAATGGCCATTTCGAGAAAATGGAGAAGATTGATACAGTATGTTTGTGTCTTGTTTTGTCTCAGTGTATTGTATTGTCTTTATGATGAAAATATGGAAGGGGTGAGAAGTAAATTACTAAGGGAAGAAGGCACCCCAGTGGAACCAAGAATAGTTAGGGCATGTGTCGATAAGAGCCCAGGAACTCTAGTCAGAAAGAAAAAGAAAGTTCAGAAGAAGAAAGATTATCAGAGGAGGACGGATTATCAGGAAAAAAGTTGCAGCAAAAGGCTATTACTAAATACTTTTCGTTACCGGACGGTGCATGAAGCGGAGAGGCGGCTGCCGAGTGTGCAAGCCTCTCACAGCGCAGCAAGGATTTTCCAAGAGGTGGCGGCGACTGGCCCTTCCCCGCCTCCTGGCCGGGGAGCTGGCTCTTCCACTGCCAAGAGCCCAAATCTAGACCTGACCTGGAGTCACAGTCTCGCAGGCTCTTGTTCCCTGTGCCCAGTAGCAGTTTGAGTCTGGGACACTGCCCAGGGCCATCTGGGGCTGCCCAGGACACTACAGCCGGCAAAAGACGCTACTGGTGTCCCTGATGTTTGGTCATTTTCAATGCCAATAACTAAGCTACAATGGTTCTCCCATACCTGGAAGCTGATGAGTAATGAGCACTATTAATGCTTATTTCAAATGCAAAAAAACCTTGAGATAATGTACTAAATTGTTCAGAAGGTTGTTTTCTTAGTAGAATGCTACAGGATTTTCTTTAGCCATCCAGAGTTCCTGCCTTCGTCCCAGTGCCGGTAAAGACCAAGGTGGAAGAATTTCCAGTGTTGCTGAAAACTGGAGGAGACTTCGGAGCTATTGCTATTTCTGCTGCTACAACTTAAGCTAGCTGCCTGCAGAACTTACCTGGACTGTGATTTAAGCTAGATGCCTGCAGAACTTACCTGAACTGTGATTTAAGCTAGCTGCCTGCAGAACTTACCTGGACTGTGAGTTAATCTATTGAGACATTGCTTTACCTGGACTGAGACAACAAACTGTAATGTACAACAAATTGTTACTCGGTATCT